CAGCAGGATGTCATGCAGTGAGAGTTGTTGCAAGAGAGTTGGACACTACTATCACAAGATCAGTTTATTTTGCACAAATTGAATCCTATTTACGTTATGGAATTTGTTTCTGGGGAAATTGTGCAAAATTTCGTTTCAATATGGTATTCTCTCTACAAAAAAGAGCCATCAGATATTTATGCAAGGCTAGCTACAGGGATTCATGCCGCCCATTATTTGTGAAGCAAAAAATTCTGACCTTAGTATGTCTTTTTATTTTGGAAACAGTGTGTCTTATCCACAAAAAATATAAAAATCAATTTAGGAACACCGCAACTTATAGTACACGTCAGTCTTACTCCGTTTCCCTTCCCACACCTTCTCTAGCCCTTACACAAAATTCTATTATTTTCAATAGCAAGAAGTTATTTAACCACCTTCCCATTAATTTAAGGCGAATATATAATGAAAAGAAATTCAGAAAGAAAGTGAAAGAATACCTTGTTGGGAGGCCCTATTATAGTGTGGACGAATTCTACCAAGGCTCTATCGAATAATTGACATGTAGCTTTGTGTAAACAAGTTATTGAAACCAACACAAAATGGCTATCAATGTTCATTATGTAGAATTATATATTTACGTTTACTTAATATTCATAAATTCATGTACTTATATTTGTAGCTGTTCAGCTGAACTCAATATTGTTCTGTCCATATACTCTGCTCCTGTGTTTAAGCATTATTTTATAGTTTATATTTGTTAATTGTCCCTTATACATGATTTACTTTACTAGACTTTGCCAATGAGATGTATATATCTTGGGTAATAAAGCATATTTTGAATTGAATTGAATTGAATTGACTCTGTTAAGTCCAAGGCTACCCCTCTTATGACGTAATAATTGAGTTTTTGTAGTAGAATATCATGGGAGACGCAATCAAAAGCCTTGGACAGGTCGCACAGGGTGATACCCATATGGCGCCCCTGTTCAAGACCTTGGACCAGGCTCTCCAGAATCCTTGATGCTGCACCTATGGTTGCCAAGTGCCAAGTCACTTGAACACCTCCCGTGAAAGTATCTATAGAAGAGAGACAAATCTCCAACCCTTCTTTCGATGTTCTAGGCTATCAAGGTTGCACGTGATGTTCGCGTCTCCAATCATGTGGATGGCTCTTTTCTGAATGGAATTCAGCAGCTTCGGGGCATGTTTGGGGGCGGAGATTCATACATGAGAACAATACTCCAAAGGTCTTATCTGAGCTTTATAAATCATCAAAAATGCTGAGGTGTGTACAGTTTTCTGGTTCGGAACAGTGTTCCAAGCTTCTGAATTGGAAATAGAAATCGCCAGAGCCCATAAATCAATTCTCTTACAAAATAGGAAGATATCTATAATTTGGATAAAAGGACATTCCGGAATAAAAGGAAATGAGGTAGTAGATAGATTAGCAAAGCAAGCCACTGAAACAGGAGAAGAGTCCATTCACACCTTTATTCCACATACCGATTTGAATCGAATTTACAAGAAAGATTTGAATGAAATTTGGCAAAATCAATTCAATGAATCTCGGACAGGCAAAAACTTCAAACAGCTCTTCCCAAAGATTATTGGAAAGAGATGGTTTGAACAAGAGAGCGACAGAAAATACATAAATACAATAAACCGTTTACGATCAAATCACGCTATCTGCCCAGCTTACAAATTCAAAATTGGATTAACAGATAATCCTCTATGCTCATGTGGACGTTATGGCGATCTCAATCACATCATGTTGGAGTGTTCGCACCACATCCACAGTATAAATACCCTTTACTCTGAATTGAAATTTCATAATATCTTTTTTCCAATAAACTTAAATTGTATGTTAACTTCAAACAACAGAAATATATACAAATTATTATACAATCATCTAATAAGATGCAAAATTAAAGTATGAATGATTGATTGTAAATATAGTTATAGTACTACTAACAATATATTCAAATGTAAACAGAAATTGAATCATATTA